ATATATAATATATATATGTATATAGGACTTTAGGATTAAATTTCTAGAAATATTTGTATATAAATGTGTAGCTATTGTATGTCTATCTGTACATATATGTAGATCTGTGTATATGTACACATATGCACACTTATATGGCTCTTCTTTTCATGTTCTCCCAAGGTGAGAACTACCTTTTATTTCCATTGTTACTTTGTTCAATGTCCAAAATAAGATTTGGAATGGCAGTATAAACTCAATAAATGTTTATTAGACAGTTGATGTCATTATTAATGAGAATAACACTCAGTTAGAAATATGACATTTCAGGAGCCGTTTGTTTGATCAGATTATTCTATTTAATTTTGACAAAACAGAGATAAATGAAACACCACTCTGTTAATCATGTTGATTACATGTCCACAGGAGCACAGGAAAAACTAACACAACTTCTAGACGGCTTTCTTGCCCAGTTGACAAGCAGTCGGTCTCTTCGAAGTAATAGGTTTAGTAAATTCTTTAGTCTCCTTGGGGGGGCCAAGTAATTTACAGTCAGCGTGGATGGTATTAATGCTTTCCGGCTTCTTAGTCATCATCGTTAAAGAGGTTTAACTACCAAGAGACCCCCCACAATTTATATGATGATTTTCTAAAGACATAAGTAATCTGGCTTAACGTCAGAGAAGTACTCAAACGGAGCTCTCTTAAAAGACTTTAGCATTTCCAAGTGCATTTTAGAAAATTATCTTGACAAGTTGACTCTCTATTTTCAAGTTACATAAGTAAAATGAATGAGTCAGAGACACGGGGCTATAATGTTTGAGGAGAACAATGTGCTCAGCCCCCTTATATTACATATGAGAAAAGGGAGGCTGAGGGAGTTTAGGTGAAAAAAGAAGTTATAATGTGTTATAAATAGAATCCTAAAATTTATGTTAAAACTATTTGGAGACAGTGGAACAGACTGGCCTATTCTGTTTCGGCTCAAAGAAAGCCATCCTAACTTTACGTATCCCATGAGTGCTACAGTTATTTTCACTGTTGGCAGAGGCAAAACCTTGTTGAATCCTTGGAAAGAAATGAATTTGCCAATGGATTAAATTGCTTATTTGGCGTTCTTGACAAAGGAAAAAAAAGGGAGAACTACCAATTCCTTTAGCCACCTCTACAGGGCCTGCTCAGCATTCTCCCTGTCCAGCTTTATGAGTTTGAGATGCTCCGGAAAGGAAATGAGGCTAACATCCCCTCAGAAAGACCCTCTCTCTGCCAGTGACATTGAGGGGTTCCTTTTTCTCACCATCATCCTTTATTTTTTAAAGCCAGAGATCTTTGTTTCACTTGATTTCATCAGGTAATTGTCCTTCATTTCTATATGTTTAGGATAAAAAATGGTGAGTATATTGTAAGCTAACAGACAAAGACATTTGTTGACACCTGCCATTATTTCTTCTTTTCTCTTTAAAATGTTTCTACTTTGTATCTTATGCGCACTCTTCATACCTATTCCCCACAATTGCTCCATAATTTACCTCTCACTTCCAAAACTACTTATTTATTAGAAAACAAAATCCTGCAAACTTAAAAGAACTATAGCTAAGAAGTGTAGAGGGCTCCTAGGAGACGTCACTCCCACAATGATAGTTCAGTCATTGATAATTATAGGCAGGGCTTAAACTGAACTGCTTCTCTAAGATTATTCATAGGACCAGAGTGATGACATGTTCTTCCACGTGTCCTCTCTCTCAGGACTGTTTTAGAATAGAAGGTAGGGTCAACAAATTAAAAGGTTGTATTCGTTTTCCATTGCTGCCGTAACAAATTAACCCAAACCTGATGGCTTAAACCAACATGTATTTATTATCGTATGGCTCTAATGGTTATAAATCTCACACAGATTTTGCTGGAGTAGAATCAACGTGCCAGCAGGGCTATCTTCCCTTCTGGAGGCTTAGAGATGAATGCTTTTCTTTGTCTCTTCCAGCTTCTAGAGGCCACCCGCATTCCTTGGCTTGTGCGTGGCCCCTTACTGCATGTTCAAGGTCAGCAAACCACGGGTGGAGTTCTCACATGAATCACTCTGACCCTATTTCACAGTGACATCTCCCTCTGACTCTCTCTTCTGCCTCCCTTTTCTACTTTGAGCATCTTTTTGATTACATTGGGCCACCCTATAATGCAGGAGTATCTCCCCATCTCAAGGTCTGTAACTTCATCACATCTTCAAAGTCCCCTTTAGCCATATAAGCTGACACAGTCACAGGTTCTGGGGGATTAGGATGCAGACACATTTGGGAGCCTTTAGTCTGCTTACCACAAAGGTATTCAGTTGAGTTCTTTCCCTGTAAATCATATCTGAATCATCCAAGTTCTTAGTAAATCTACAATACAATCCATTGACTTGCATATTAGTCAGCTTTCTTTAAATTAGTTTGTAATGAAGGACTAATTGACTTTATAACATAATCTTTTCATTATATGACAGTTCTAAGCTTAGCCCCAGGCCTGCGGAAGGTGACAGGAAAACTCAAAATTCTAAGCATAGTCTTTATATAGAACAACTGCCTCCTCCTGGTACTCCCCAAAAAAGAGGATGTGGATATTTGTTTAATTCACACAGCCAGGTCAAGAAGTCCATGCACATTGGTCCACTCTGGAGTGTGACTCATTTGCATGGCTTGACTCTAACCCTGGAAAATGAATTATATAATTATAACTAAGGCCTCACCTTTGACTCCTTATAAAAGGAATCTGTACAAGAGTTACATACTTTTTGAAACTTTAGTTACACTAGTTTTATATACATCATCTAATTATCTTCCTGCTCAGTACTTTTACAAATTGTCCCATATATACTAAAGCAGAGGTCAGCGAACTAGGGCCTACAGGCCACATTTGGCCCAGCAGCTAAGAATGGCTTTTACGTTGTTAAGTGGTTGGAAAAAAATCAAAAAGAAAATAATATTTTGTTACAGAGAAAAGTGATATGACATACAAACTTCAGTGTCTATAAGTAAAGTGTGATTGGAACACACCACCCCCATTCTGTGAATGTATTTGTAATGCAAGGGCAGACTTGAACAGTTGCAACAGAGAGCGTGTGACTCATATACCCTAAAATATTTCTGTCTAGCCCTTTACAGATGAAGCTCATTGACTAAAGAAAAGCTATCATTTTTGTGGGTAGGTATTATTTACGCATATTGATAATGTTGATATGCAACTAAAAAGCAATTCCACCTAGATTTTGAGATTACAACCACTCCAAGAGAATCTAATTAAGAAAAAAACATATTTTTAAAGCAATAATAAAATAAACATAGATTTCAGTTATAAAAATTTCAGTGAGTAAAGTGTAGGTAAGCTGGAGAGACCATAGGTTTCCAAATAAAGAATTTGCTTCTCTCTTGGCCACTGTCTGTATTAGTCAAAGAGGAATGTGACCTCTTGCAAATGGAATTTGTAATAATCTCACCAGGAAAAAAATCGAGGGGAGGGGAACCTTCAAACAAAATATTGGGATGATGAAATGTTCCTCGGAACCAGCCATATCCGACTTCACCAGTCAGTACGACATAAATCCAAGCAAATAGGCAGATCTGAGTGGTGTATTTCCTCTTACAGAAGATTATTTCAAACAGTGACATAAACACTGTTGCAATTGGTTACAGTCAAGGTTTGGCTTTTAACTCTAAACGGATACTGCACATTTTTAAACCTGAGAGTTGAAATTGAATACCCTGACATCGGAAAGCTTGACGACATATTTCATTTGATGCTGCTTTTCCTCCAGGTAATAGAGTAAGTAGGGAAACGCTCTACACAGGAACCCGTACCTGGCAAATCCCATGCATAGGATAAGGTTTCTAGCTGGATGGAGCAGCTACAGTGCTCACAGGCCAGCCCACAGAAGGCACCACAGGCTTCAGCTACAAGCCAATGGTTAGGCCGTTATAGATCATCTACACTAACAAGCATCATTTTGCAAATAGACTTGTCAGCTGACATGCAAAATAATTATACACTGCCTAGCCACATGTGAATAACATTAATGTGCGGGAGGAAGATTACACATGCATCTGTATGATCACATTCAACCTCTCAATGTCAGTGTTTTGAAGTCGAGTTTACCGACTGGAAAACTGAGATTCAGAAAAGATAACTCAACTATCCAGTGCCTCAGCCAGCACAAGTGGAGCCGACGCGTGGTCGGATGTCTGAGGCATCCCAGTTCAGTGATACTCATTCCAGTGGCCCAAATTGAGTGCATTGCTGTACCCATAACGGGCATTGGAAGGCATTTTCTCCTTAGTAATGATACGAAGCTTTCAATAGCAGCAAGTAGATTGCTCGCTTTTTTTCTGAGAGCTAAACTACACATTGTAAAGCGGACTGGATATTTTAGCTTAACCAGATATTGATCATGTCTTATTTTTGAAAGATTTAATTGTGTTCAATGCACTACTTTACCAAACATGGGTCTATTCCATTTTGCATCTTTTCGACAGTTCTTGTCACCCATCTCATTAAGATTCCTCTTCCTCCCCTCAGTAGGAAAGGCCTGTGTTGTGAGTTCTGGAGATGGGACACTGGAAACACGGCATGGTATCAAGCATGAAATCAGTTTATCTGAGGCTGTTCCAGGTGAAACAGAATTGCTGAGTTTTCAAATAGTGAAAGGCAGAATTTTATCATTGTCTATTTCTTTTTCTTTTATAATTCATTGTGATTGAGATCCTGAGGAAAAGAAATGTGAGATCCAAGAATATCTTCTCACTCACCCATCATTAATAAAGAAGAATCAAAATGTCCAGCATCTGTGAAAGCCTTCAGTCCATCAAAGATAGTAGAGCAATTTCATATATTACCTGAATCATTTTAAGGTGTAAAAGTGGCTAATAAATGACCTCTGTTTTAAGCATCTCAAAATAAAGACTGTTGGGAGTCCATTTTAGAAGCAGGTTTGGTAGAGGACATTCGCTCTGTTGGTTTACAAGGGAGATCTTCTCTTCCTCCTCTTCCAGGCTGACGGGCATGAACCTTCCTTCCCCAGTCATCAGCAGCAAGAACTGGTTACGACTCCATTTCACATCTGATAGCAACCATCGACGCAAAGGATTCAATGCTCAGTTTCAAGGTAAGAATGCTCCATCTTACAAGACAAAAAATAGCAGAAGACATTCTGGTCCTTTCCAACCTGGAAATTTTAGGATTCTTTTGCTAAAGATGGAACAGGAGATATAAGCTTGAAAATACCTTCTATCTCTTATAGGAACAGTTAACATTGGAAATTCTATAGATGACAACTAGCAACTTATTAGTAAATCTTTATTACTGTGACAGGATGCAACATATTTTCTTATTTTTCTGTAATTATTTCTAAGTTATAATCAGTAAATACATATTAGCATTAATTTTAATTACTATGCACCTAGTTGGTAAATATCCACACTGATCTGGTTCTATTCTTTAACCATTTACTAAGAATCACTTTAGTCTCAAAATATATTCACACTGCATAAGTCCAATTACCTGATATGGTGATTTACACATAAGTGAGCCTTCAAACAAAAATGTTGGATTGTTCATAGCTGAGTAAAATGGAGTCTCGTCAGTAGTATTTAAAGTTGATTTTGAAACTTTCTCTTCCTATCTAATTTCTAATGTTTATACCTGGACAATATTGGATCATTTCCTGTATGTTTCTAATAATCAATAATTCTTATCCATACCTTGAAAAGGATTCAATCTATGAGGAGGTCCATTAAAAACAATTCCACTTGCATTTGCAAATAAAAATAGCATGACTATGTCGGAAAGTAAGATGCTTTCACAAGCAAATTTCTCCAGCTTCCCTCAAATCACGACCGTGAGAATGTCAGTTCAATTAAGGCAGCATTCCCTGAACACTTGTCACATGCCAGCCAGGACCTGAAAATGAGGAAATTATATACAAGCCCCATTCTCCAGAAACTAGTAGATCACAAATACAGTTTGTAAACAACTTCCTTGAAAGGCAGAACACGAGGAGAAATCATACTGCCCCTGAGGGACATTGTAGTAACTTTCCAACAAATCGTCTGAATGTCTCCCATCTAAAATACGTTTTAAAACCCACAGTGCTTCCATTGTGTCCTTTTGGACAAGACATGGAAAAACCAGAGTAATTTGCAAGGAATTCAGTACAGATGGTGCTGAGGAGGCACATGGTGGTGAGCAGGTTTTATGTGTCACCTGGCCCCTAGGCCACGTGACCCTCAGAGTAGATGCCTGACTTAGAATCCAGAGGCAATTTTGTTTCACCAAAATGTGTGCTATCCATCATCAGGAGTGTTGTCCATCTCACAGTTTCTTCTGATGCTGCCAGGAAGTTCTTGCCTTCATCCCCTTTGATTGCACATACACTGCTCCGAATGAAGTTTTACAGGAGCCGTGCCAGTTTATTTTCACTTATCCTGGGACCCAGGCAAGGCCGAATTTTCCTTTTTCATAACTGCCTTTATCTTTAAGGTCATATAGTCTAACTGTGATTAAAACAGAACAAGTGTGAGAAGGAGATGTTGGTGGGGGTGGGGCCACGTGGGGACATGGTGGGTGGGAGTGAGAAATACTGCATGCAGTCTCCTTGGAAATGATTCTGAGGTTTCTCTGGAGTGACCTGCATCAGTGGCTAGATCTATCACTGATTTAACACAGTCATAAATCAATATTTAGAAAACCAATTGACTGATCATAGAATTAGGCAGGTGGATCTACAGAGTTGTTTCTAAACGGTTGATTGATCTTCGCCAGGGGCTCGGATTAATTGATTGGCAGTGAGCTACAGAATAATGTTTAGGTGTCATCCCTCAAACTGATCAGTGTATTTGGCATCTGTATCAGTGATTGGAAGAAAGGTAAAAAATAGAATATCAAATTTGAAGATACTCCAAATTGATAAATATCAGAAACATACTGCTTGGCAGAAAATTGCAATAGCTTAGACATATTATCCACTTATTTTAAAAGTCTGTATATAATGAAAATCGATGAGTAGAAAAATTTTCACATATACCCAAAGAGATAAAAAGCTGCAAAAATATAAGGAGGGTTAAACTCAGCTTAACGGTAATATATTGAGAAATTCTTCAGACTGACTTTGAAGTTCATCTCCAAGATGAAATGGTGCGAGGGGCTGCCTTTTGTTTTCATCAGGACATAGGCCTTATTTCACAGGAGGCATCATGCCCAAAACACATCTAAGCAGACTGTATGTGGAAGGTTGTGTTCAGTCCTGGATGTCACCTTTTGAGAATGAAACTGACCAAAAGGAGATCATCCAGGATGATGACAGAAACATTCAAAAGAGGACCTGAGGACATTTAGTAAATGCCAGGCAGGAAGGCATTACATTTATTTTTCTGGATCCAGAGGGCAGATCTGTCATCAATGAGTGGAAGCTACAGATGCTTCCTGCTGATTCTAGAAGAAGCCTGAATGTGCCAGGAGGTAGGAGACTCTGTTATTACTATGTGCAGCCCTCTCGTGGTTTCTCTCCATGAGAAACTGCTTCTCTATCCAAGAGTGGGATGCCTGCATAGAAATTTATAACTTCTAAAAACAAAGAGTACACTTATTTTAACTTGGTGCTTTTCTTGGTCAAATAAACAACTATCACCATAAAATAGTCTTTCTTCTCTTTATGTTTTTAACTTTCTTCTCTACATTCTTTATTCTCTGAGTCTTACACTCTCTTCTTCGACATTTATCTCTTCAATCTTGCAATCAAGTTAGGCCAAAAGTAAGGTTGATTGACAAGTAAAACTGCTCTGTGGTTGCTGCATCTAAAATGCATTCACGGTTACAACAACATTGTGAACAAAAGAAGTGGCAACTGCGATTAAAGCCACTTGATATATTTGCAGCATCTTGTGTGTATACTGGGCTCCCGCAGAATGATAGATTCACGTCAGAGACATTATTCCTTTAAATCAGCTGAAAATAGAGCCCATTCTTTACATGCTGCCTCCATCATTAATTATAATTAAATAAGTGCCTTGTTACTGCAATCCATCATCTAGACATTTTCGATGTCTACAAGGTGAATTTTTTAAGACTTATTAGTCTTGAACCATGAATGTCTCTTCCCTACTAAGTAGCCATATACATGTTGAGCTCCAGTTTTACATATGTTTACCTTGCTATTTATAAAAATACAACTACCACAAAGTGAAATTCCCATTGATTTCTGTCACTGATAAATCATTTTGAGTGTTTGTAATAAAGTTCCAGTTTATATAGAGAACAACCCTTCCCATAAATCAAGGGAAAACCTGACCATGGATTTCAGTCTTGTGTTTACACAAATAATTAGCTTTGTTTTTAGGAATAGTTCTATATAATTTCTGATTTTCCTTTTTATTTAAAATGAAGAACTTTATATAAGAAGAAGACTCTCATGTTGTTAAAAATGCATTTTGGATGAAATCTTCATCTTTTCAAATTTAAATTTGGGTAAAACTTATGCATTCCCCTTTCTCCAATGCTGACATTTCTGCAGTCTGAGATTCAACTGCAAAAGCTTTACTTAAGAGGTAAAAGACCTCCAGATGATAGTAATAGCAATAGTGATTACCTCTACCTGACAGCTAATAGACCTGGATCCTTGTGCCGATGCAGCTGTCTACCTCCCCCTTTAGAAGAGTAACTGCAGAATTATAAGGGCCATAATCGAGAACGTAGAAGGTGCTCAAACAATGTATGTTGAAGAAACGAAGGAAATGGCTGCTCATACTTTTCCCCAGGCTTCTCCCACCATTGATCTGCGGAACTAGTGAGAAACCCTGTAGGTGGCGCCTTTGCTCATTTCTATGGCAGTGGACACCATCTACTCTTCTGCTAAGGGGACTTTTCAGATAGGCAGGGACCAGTAAAATTTTCTTTCAACACAAATAAATTAGCAAAATCTAATCTTATAACTTCTAAGTAATTCTTAAAACCTCTAAACCTCTAAAAGGAAAATCAACTTTTAATAAATATAAATTCGCTCAAATCAGAAACACGTAACCTCTTTCCTAAACATATACTGTAACTTCTCTCAGAGCAAAAGATTCTTGTGAAGTGCCAACTCTGGTACTTTTAATAATTCGAGAAAGATGCCCATCTGTGTGTCCCAAGCTGCTGACTCTGGGCCTCGACTGTTTCATTAAGTACTTATCATTAGCCAATACCCTTTCTGCTTGACACGTTTTTCTGTCTTACTCTGTAAAATAAGAGTAAGAGTGGCTGCCTCACCACATCATTGTGGATAGGTAATAAAATGAAAAGGAAGTGTGGCCAGTGCTTTGTAAGCTGCTCCGAAGTGTGAGAGCATTCCTCACGCATGATAATCCTTCCTCATGCTCAGCATCTTCCTAACCCAAATTAACCAAAACACACCCTTTGATATTCCAAATTTTGAGAGGTATAAGAAAACTCTCGAAAATGGGCAGACTATTTTCTTCCACTGTTGGTAGAAATCTGAACGGGTGAAACCTCTTTGGAAAACTGCTTTATTGTAAACCTGAACCTAAACATTTTCTAGAACCCAGCAATTCCACTGAAGGTGAGCACCCAACAGAAATAAGTACATGTGTGCAAGGAAAGACGTCTATAGAGAATGTCTATAGAAGCTTTATTTGCAGTTGTCAAATATTGGAAATAACCTAAGTGTCAATTGACAGTAGAATAAATTAAGAAACTATGTACGTTCCTACAATGGAATACTAAACAAAATTGAGAAAAACATAATGACCTCTACCTACAACAACATGAGGGAATATCATACACATAATATTGAGTCAGAGAGGAGCCAGACACAAAAGCATGCCCACTGTGTGGTCCATTTATATGAAATTCAGGGATCTGCAAAACTAGTTATTTACATGGGTGTTCATTACTAAAAAACAGTACTTTGATCTATGTGTGTATACATTTCCATTTTAAAAGACGTTTTTAGAAAAGTGGTCAGAACAATCCTCTTCCCCAAAAGTGACACGTTCTTTAAAGTTTTCTTACAAACAGGACCAGACAAAAATGCCTAGAGACCCCCCACTCAACGTCATGGTGCTCCTGAATGTCAGCATTGGGAGCAGCTCATCCCACACACAACGACAGGGA